CTGCCTGTTGGATCGCTAGCAGGGTGTGTTGCACCTGTCCGTGTCTCTGGATACTTCACATTTAAATGAGCTAAGATCGCATCTGACTGAGACGCTGCCGATGGGTGTGCCGATTTAGACCTGTGAGCCAACGGTTGCTTTCTTCGCACAGAATTATCAAGGCGGGGCTTTTCTCTGGGTTCACTCCATGCTTCGAGCGTGTTAGGAGAAGCATGCAAAGCTTTAGACGAGGTTAGATTCTGGATAGCAAACAATGATGACTTGGGCCTGGCGGAGGACGCGGGTACGACACGGGTTGTGATGAATGTGTCCTGGCGCGTGGGGAACGACGCTCTCCGGCCTGACGCGGCCTTTCTCACGTTTGTCTGAACCACCGACTCGCTGCTCTCAGAGCTGATGGAGCTCTTACGCGTGTGGGAGGAACCGGCGCTTAGCTCTGACTGAGAAACATCACTGACACTCCGACTTCGAACAAACGTGGCGTCTCGGGGAGGAAGACACTTGCTTGTCTGACCGCAAGGAGCGAGCGGGGTTCTTACTGGGCTTGTGTGGAGGCTTCGCGTGAGAGCTCGCAGGTGGTGCGTGGCCATGGCGGGAACGCTGCTCCCCAGAACGGGACTAGCGCGAGGGCTGCTCCTCAGGGGCGCGCGCGCCGGACTGTTTCTGGGGCTGCGTGGCGCCCGTCCCGACTTGGTGGCCAGCTCCTTGGCTCTGGAGCGGCGAGGGCTGCTGTTCAAGCTGTGAGGAGAGTGGGGGGCCTCCAGATCCTCCAGGCGCTGAGTGAGAGCCAGTTTCTGCTGGATGGCCATGCGAAGCAGGGAATTCAGTGTCTTCTTCTCATCCTCGGCGGCTGCTAGCTGCCTCTGCATTTCATCCAGCTGGGTGACATACTGGTCGCACCTGAGAGACGCACACGCCATGAAAAGATGCAACATGCACAAGCAACACAAAGCTGTTAAACAACACACACCTCAACCACTGGACTGTGAGGCATGCGCTGCATGGCAAACCTTTTAGATTAGACATAAATCGCACAGTTATCAAAAGTTAAAAATGAACGTTAATGGGTTAACAAGGAACTAAAAGTTGTTGACAAACTGTGTAGCATTCCTTCAAAACTCAAAAGAGTAAAAAGTGATGGATTACTTCCTTACTGTTTTTTTTTTCAATCCAACACCAAAACAAGAACAAAAACCAGATTTTTCACATTTCAACTCTCGGCTCAAATCAAGACGATGAAATGAAAAAATGAATTTGAAAAAAATACCTGGTCGGGTTTCAGTGACACGGAAGCTTGGTCACCACCAGCATAAGTAAAAATATGTTTGCTTTTTAGCCACCACACTTAATGTTGTTTAGACAGGAATCAGCATCCTTTTAGAAACTAAACTGAGAGCTACTTCTTGTGTACTGATGAATGAAATGGGCGAACAATTTGACACACACGCACGCACACACTTCTGAAATTAAATATCTGCTCAAATGCCTTTATGTTCTTTTTAATAATGAATGATATTTATCTGTGTGCAGACACTGATCATCCATCCATCCATTTTCAGAACAGCTTATCCTCACGAGGGTCACGGGAGTGCTGGATCCTATCTCAGCCGTGTCTTCAGGCAGTCGGCAGGGTACACCCTGAACTGGTAGCCAGCCAATTGCAGGGCACACATAGACGAACAACCATTCACTCGTAAATTCATCTCAAGGACAATCTAGAGCAGTGGTTCTTAACCTGGGTTTGATCGAACCCTAGGGGTTCGACAGAGTTGAGACACACCCGACTCAACATGTCAATTAGTTATGACATGTCCGCTTGGCCATCACTGGCTGGTTCATTTTGTGCACAAAAAAACCTTATACTTTATACTTATACTAAGTTATTTACTTTTTTCTGTTTTTAATAAATCATTTTTTATGTCTTGAATTTGTAAAAAATAAATGAATAAAAAAATTAAAATCATTTTTATTTTTCACTAATGAAGGGTTCGGTGAATGTGCATATGAACTGATTGGGTTCGATACCTCTAACAAGGTTAAGAACCACTGATCTAGAGTGTTCCATTAACCTAACAGGCATGGGGAGAATCTGCAAACTCCACGCAGGAAGGCCGGAGTCGAACTCTGCACCTCTGCACTGTGAGAGGGACGTGCTAACAAGTCGATCTCCGTGCCGCCTGCCACTGATCACGTCAATGATTTTTCATAATAATCATCAACAATCACTTCACAATGCAGGAAAACAAGTTGAATATAAAGTGCAACACTATTTCTACAAATGTCCGCAACATTTCCACAACATTTCTAGGAAATTTCAATGTTCCATTAATGGTGAGCTATTTTTAGAATCCTCCCACAGGCTACTCATGTGGCACCGTGTTGGTGACCGCTGGTTTAAAGGAACAAAACATGCAATAAGCACAATTTTCCAGGTAAATATTTGTCACAAATAACAATTTCTGTGCAATTTACTGTCAATGATTTTTCATAATAATCATCAACAATCACTTCACAATGCAGGAAAACAAGTTGAATATAAAGTGCAACACTATTTCTACAAACGTCCGCAACATTTCCACAACATTTCTAGGAAATTTCAATGTTCCATTAATGGTGAGCTATTTTTAGAATCCTCCCACAGGCTACTCATGTGGCACCGTGTTGGTGACCGCTGGTTTAAAGGAACAAAACATGCAATAAGCACAATTTTCCAGGTAAATATTTGTCACAAATAACAATTTCTGTGCAATTTACTTTTAACCACAAAATGCAACCTAATACATTACCGAATCATCCATCCATCCAAACATTTCGCATGTTTTTGGAATGTGGGAGGAAACCAGAGTGCCCGGAGAAAACCCCGCAGGCACAGGGAGAACATGCAAACTCTCCACAGGAAGGACGGTGCCAGAATCGAACCCTGTGCCTCTGCACTGTGAGGCCGATGCGCGAACCACTCGATCACCGGGCCGCCATTACCTAATCAGTTAAATATTTAACTCACATTCAGTCCTGTGGTCTTTTTCTCTCTCTTTTTTTTACATGTATTTTTTTTTCAATCTGAGCAATAATAATAAAATAAATATGTAGACAAAAACAGGCCTTTCTGGTTAAATTATAAAAAAAAAAAACAATATGAGGCATGCTTTTAATACACATTTTTTGATTGCCAAGTAAGAGTGGAAAGAATGAATAATACAAGGATTGTCAACATTCCCTTGCACCAAATTAGTCTGAACTATTTTCAAATTGCATTAAAGCAACAAACACTACACGGGACTAGCGCGAGGGCTGCTCCTCAGGGGCGCGCGCGCCGGACTGTTTCTGGGGCTGCGTGGCGCCCGTCCCGACTTGGTGGCCAGCTCCTTGGCTCTGGAGCGGCGAGGGCTGCTGTTCAAGCTGTGAGGAGAGTGGGGGGCCTCCAGATCCTCCAGGCGCTGAGTGAGAGCCAGTTTCTGCTGGATGGCCATGCGAAGCAGGGAATTCAGTGTCTTCTTCTCATCCTCGGCGGCTGCTAGCTGCCTCTGCATTTCATCCAGCTGGGTGACATACTGGTCGCACCTGAGAGACGCGCGTGCCATGAAAAGATGCAACATGCACAAGCGACACAAAGCTGTTAAACAACACACACCTCAACCACTGGACTGTAAGGCATGTGCTGCATGGCAAACCTTTTTAGATTAGACATAAATCGCACAGTTATCAAAAGTTAAAAATGAACGTTAATGGGTTAACAAGGAACTAAAAGTTGTTGACAAACTGTGTAGCATTCCTTCAAAACTCAAAAGAGTAAAAAGTGATGGATTACTTCCTTACTGTTTTTTTTTTCAATCCAACACCAAAACAAGAACAAAAACCAGATTTTTCACATTTCAACTCTCGGCTCAAATCAAGACGATGAAATGAAAAAATGAATTTGAAAAAAATACCTGGTCGGGTTTCAGTGACACGGAAGCTTGGTCACCACCAGCATAAGTAAAAATATGTTTGCTTTTTAGCCACCACACTTAATGTTGTTTAGACAGGAATCAGCATCCTTTTAGAAACTAAACTGAGAGCTACTTCTTGTGCTGTGATGAATGAAATGGGCGAACAATTTGACACACACGCACGCACACACTTCTGAAATTAAATCTGCTCAAAACACGCACGCACACACTTCTGAAATTAAATATCTGCTCAAATGCCTTTATGTTCTTTTTAATAATGAATGAGATTTATCTGTGTGCAGACACTGATCATCCATCCATCCATTATCAGAACAGCTTATCCTCACGAGGGTCACGGGAGCGCTGGATCCTATCTCAGCCGTGTCTTCAGGCAGTCGGCAGGGTACACCCTGAACTGGTAGCCAGCAAATTGCAGGGCACACATAGACGACCAACCATTCACTCGTAAATTCATCTCAAGGACAATCTAGAGCAGTGGTTCTTAACCTGGGTTTGATCGAACCCTAGGGGTTCGACAGAGTTGAGACACACCCGACTCAACATGTCAATTAGTTATGACATGTCCGCTTGGCCATCACTGGCTGGTTCATTTTGTGCACAAAAAAACCTTATACTTTATACTTATACTAAGTTATTTACTTTTTTCTGTTTTTAATAAATCATTTTTTATGTCTTGAATTTGTAAAAAATAAATGAATAAAAAAATTAAAATCATTTTTATTTTTCACTAATGAAGGGTTCGGTGAATGTGCATATGAACTGATTGGGTTCGATACCTCTAACAAGGTTAAGAACCACTGATCTAGAGTGTTCCATTAACCTAACAGGCATGGGGAGAATCTGCAAACTCCACGCAGGAAGGCCGGAGTCGAACTCTGCACCTCTGCACTGTGAGAGGGACGTGCTAACAAATCGATCTCCGTGCCGCCTGCCACTGATCACGTCAATGATTTTTCATAATAATCGTCAACAATCACTTCACAATGCAGGAAAACAAGTTGAATATAAAGTGCAACACTATTTCTACAAACGTCCGCAACATTTCCACAACATTTCTAGGAAATTTCAATGTTCCATTAATGGTGAGCTATTTTTAGAATCCTCCCACAGGCTACTCATGTGGCACCGTGTTGGTGACCGCTGGTTTAAAGGAACAAAGCATGCGATAAGCACAATTTTCCAGGTAAATATTTGTGACAAATAACAATTTCTGTGCAATTTACGTTTAACCACAAAATGCAACCTAATACATTACCGAATCATCCATCCATCCAAACATTTCGCATGTTTTTGGAATGTGGGAGGAAACCAGAGTGCCCGGAGAAAACCCCGCAGGCACAGGGAGAACATGCAAACTCTCCACAGGAAGGACGGTGCCAGAATCGAACCCTGTGCCTCTGCACTGTGAGGCCGATGCGCGAACCACTCGATCACCGGGCCGCCATTACCTAATCAGTTAAATATTTAACTCACATTCAGTCCTGTGGTCTTTTTCTCTCTCTTTTTTTTTTTACGGCACCGTGTTGGTGACCGCTGGTTTAAAGGAACAAAGCATGCGATAAGCACAATTTTCCAGGTAAATATTTGTGACAAATAACAATTTCTGTGCAATTTACGTTTAACCACAAAATGCAACCTAATACATTACCGAATCATCCATCCATCCAAACATTTCGCATGTTTTTGGAATGTGGGAGGAAACCAGAGTGCCCGGAGAAAACCCCGCAGGCACAGGGAGAACATGCAAACTCTCCACAGGAAGGACGGTGCCAGAATCGAACCCTGTGCCTCTGCACTGTGAGGCCGATGCGCGAACCACTCGATCACCGGGCCGCCATTACCTAATCAGTTAAATATTTAACTCACATTCAGTCCTGTGGTCTTTTTCTCTCTCTTTTTTTTTTTACTGTATTTTTTTTTCAATCTGAGCAATAATAATAAAATAAATATGTAGACAAAAACAGGCCTTTCTGGTTAAATTATAAAAAAAAACAATATGAGGCATGCTTTTAATACACATTTTTTGATTGCCAAGTAAGAGTGGAAAGAATGAATAATACAAGGATTGTCAACATTCCCTTGCACCAAATTAGTCTGAACTATTTTCAAATTGCATTAAAGCAACAAACACTACTCATTCACAAGAGGGCGCTACAAAACCTTTTAGCAAGCCGCAGGCTCATTCTAAAATGTTGCGTGTCAGGAGACCTTGACAACTGTGTGTGCTCCAATCCCTCTTAGGTGTAATCAAAGACACATAGGCAATGTTATGCAAGGAAAGTCCGAAAATGATTTGACACTTCCCAATTCACACGACAGCAATTTCAAAGCACCATGACGATGGATTACCAGAAGATCCTCGTGATTATCGTCTAAAATATTGCGCTCTGATTGTGGTAACACAGTGCCTCACATGAGGCCGCTACCCCGCTAAGGTGACCTGGCTCAGAGGGACAAATCTGCACACGGCAGGGCATGTGGTTTGTAATCTTCACGTGAACCAGTGGATTGTCCACACACGAGCGTAACAAGCATCATAAGCTTATTACACAAGTGGTGCAAAACGCTGCACCGCAACCACACGACCATTACCAAGCAAGAAAAACTCTCAAGAGGCAGTCACAACAGCGGTAGTGTTATTCATGAATGAAAAGAAGATTCTTACCGACTAGCAAACATGACTCGGAGTGAAGAGAAGGTGGCTGCATCTTCTTTCAATGCTTTGAGTTCATTGCGGAGTTTCATCATGGTTTCAGACACCATGCTCTTCTCGGTCTCATACTTGCTTTTTAAATTGGACAAAGCCAACTCAGCCGTCTTAAAAAAAAAAAAAAAAAAAAAATGCAAAATCGTGTCACCATTGTAATACAAGAAACAAAGAATGCATTGACTGGTGTTTTTGCTTTCCTGTGCCACGGCAGGCCAGGTTTGAACATGAACAATTTGTGCACGCAGTTGCGCTCCCCGGGGGACAACTTTGTGTTCCCTAATGCAATATATACTGCACTTCTTAGGGACCAATCGGGACAGCTAATTGAGCATGAACAATTGTTAGTACGGCTGGCTTGACGACTTGCCTTGAACACGGTCAACTTATGAAATGAATCATGTTGCTGAGTGAAGGTCTATAATTTAGCCTAAACTGTCCATTTTATCAGCAAGTTGCATTGTCATTGTCTGCTTGTAGTTCATTAATAAGAAACAAATAATAAAAACGGGGACACTTAACTAATATGCATTTCCAATCGCAAAACACCCATTTCATACAATGAACATGAAGTTCAATGGAAAATATCCGATTTTTAAGGGGGTGAAATGGAGAAGTCTCAAGTGTCGCACCTGATGGTCTTGCTCCCTGTGAATGTACCTGTTTGTTGGCCTTGAGCACCGTTCTGAGAGTAGCAATCTGTTCTCGCTTGGTGCTAAGAAGGGACTTGAGCTTGAGTACTTCCTCCAGCAGGCTTTCAGCATCCCTCTCCATCTCCACACTGCTACTCAGCCCCGAGTAAGGCATGGCACCTCGCTGGCGACAGAGGTCCACTGCCACCTGAGGGTTTAAGGGCAGGTTCACATCAAGTCGTACACGAGGGTCCCGAGGGCATTCAAATCAATCTCGAACAAACACACAAATCCCAAACACTGTGTCAAGGTGAGAAGACCCATTAAACCCTTAATGTAGATTTTATTGTGCTTGCCTTAACATCAGTTTACGTGTGGTTTTGCAGTAATGCCCAATATCCAGTCGAAGCCGCACCGCTTAAGCTCAGTAATCCATTCCATTCAAACCCACACACAGCCACGTGTCAACAAGGAATTGGATTTGGGCAGACACGAGCTACTCAGCTCCATTTAACAGTCTGAGCTGAGCATTAGCAGGACGGCACTTGTGAATGCGTAACCACTTTTACTGAGGACAAAAGCCCTCCTTTCACTGAGAGAGCATTTCAACACTCGAATATCAGCAAAGCATCAGGAGACAATCGGAAATACTGCGCGTCATAGGGCTGCGTATTGTTGAAGACCTCATAATTCAATTTGATATCAATTCTTTATGTTGTGATTTAATATTGATTTGAATGTCTAGATGTCTATTCTGTAAGATCGATTGATTTTTATGCCCCATCTAAATATGCGGTACATCAGGTCATATTTATCAGGAATAAAACATCTGAAAAAACAAAATCCACAATAATCACCTATTTGTGCATATGGAGTAGACGAGTAGAAAACATGACGGAATGTCAACTTCATATTATTTTTTTCTTCCTGGAAAACAAACACTCTGTTTTTGGTGCACACTGCGTATTGTTGAAGACCTCATAATTCAATTTGATTTCAATTCTTTATGTTGTGATTTAATATTGATTTTAATGTCTAAATGTCTATTCAGTAAGGTCGATTGATTGTTATGCCCCATCTAAATATGCGGTACACATCAGGTCACATTTATCAGGAATAAAACATCTGAAAAAACAAAATCCACAATAATCACCTATTTGTGCATATGGAGTAGACGAGTAGAAAACATGACGGAATGTCAACTTCATATTATTTTTTTCTTCCTGGAAAACAAACACTCTGTTTTTGGTGCACACTGAATAACCGAGCGGCACATTTAAAAAACGCTCCGAATTTCCCAATGGTCTGAGTGAACCAGTGCACGCTTGGAGCGTTCTTGCATTCCCATTCATTTCAAATGGAACAGTCCCTCAATTTATGGATGTATCAGTTTACAAACGGGCTCACAATCCACAATAATCACCTATTTGTGCATATGGAGTAGACGAGTAGAAAACATGACGGAATGTCAACTTCATATTATTTTTTTCTTCCCGGAAAACATTAAACACTCCGTTTTTGGTGCACTCTGAATAACCGAGCGGCACATTTAAAAAACGCTCCGAATTTCCCAATGGTCTGAGTGAACCAGTGCACGCTTGGAGCGTATTGCATTCCCATTCATTTCAAATGGAACATTCCCTCAATTTATGGATGTTTCAGGTTACAAACGGGCTCATGGAACCAATCAAGTTCGTAACTTGAGGCTCCACTTTAATCGTTAGTTGCGGCTCTCGTTTCTACCCACCCTTAAAAGCGTGTTATGAAGAGGGCCGCCTTACCCGGAGGTGTTTGATCTGGCATCTGATGACCGCAACCAAATTGCGGACATTGGAGGGGTCCCTGAAATCCAGATTGGGGGAACCGGGGCAACTAGGAGAGTCGACGGAGGACCCTGAACTGTCCACCTCGCCCATAAACTGCAATGCCGCAGCTTTGGAGATGAAGGTGTCATTGGCGCGTGCCTTCTTCTGGGAGTTAGGCGGGGTGGAGATGTGGAGCGGCCTTCTTGCACCAGCTCCGCCATGTGCCCTGGCGCTTTCACGGTAATAGTCCAGCGTGACCCGTTTGGGTGTCAGGTTGTTGCACACGCAGATGTGGTGGTAGAGGTTGGACAGCTCCTCAGAAAAGGCGAGCAGCTCTTCCTGCGCCACGCTCAGATGGCCTTCAGAATCGCTGGCCACTTTGCGTGTGGCTCCAATCTCAACCTCCAGTTCACTGATCCGCTCCTGGTCCTGTCTGCTGGACTTGATGCACTGGCGAATCTTGTCAGCCAGCTCCTGGGCCTCCGATCGCCATCGGTCCTTCTCCTGTTTGTATCGTTGTTCCAGGGTGTTATAGCGAGTGCCCGCTTGAGACAGTTCATCCCGCAGCTTCAGAAGCTCTTCGCTGGCCGAACGCATACGTGCCTCCAGCACTTCTTTGCTCTTTGTGTCGACCTCGTAGTCAAAGACGGCGTCAGCAGCGTCCGCAGTCTTGGCCTCCTCTTCGTCTGCCTCCTGGTTGTTCTGTTGGCCGCTCTGTATAGCCTCCAGCTGTTGGGTGAGAGATCCAACTTTGTCCTCGTGCTGACTCAGTGCTTGCTTGGACATCACCAGCTGCATCTGCAATTCTTCCACCTTGCTGACAAGACTTGACTTCTCTCTTTCCGCCTGTGTACACCAAACAAAAAAGGGCAAGCAAGAATATTAAGTAAGTACAGGATTTGCTGCATGCCCACTTCAGGACTTGTGATTGACTGGAGACAAGATATGTCCCCATTGATCATATCAAGATCATGCAGTGGAAGTAGAGAAAAAGGATAAGTACACATGCAGGACATCTGTTTTGATGACAAATGGACCTCATAAGCAAACTAGCAATTCACTCAAAGGGTCAGTTGTAAGCGGAGAACAGAATTATACGTCAATCATTTTCAACAGGACAAAAGAAGAGGATGCTGTTTGACACACGTTATCCCCCAACCACTTTTACACTCCCATTAATTTTTAATGTGAAACAGTGGCTGACCCCATTCAACTCTTCGCTCCAAACATCTGCTAGTTTGCCGCTTGTTCACCCAACCCCCACTTTCAGAACCTCATTAAAGATGGATTTCCTTCACGCCGAGAGGGAGAGTAACTCCAGACGTTAAAGTATTCTCGAGCATCCTTTTATTATTTAGAATTAGGTTGCGAATTGACATTTCTGGCCAAGATGTACAATATTAATCTGCATGTAACGCAAACACAGTCTCTTTTGCTCTCTTTTACACAAATGCACAGCGGATGTGGGCTAAAGCAGGAAGTAAGTTGTTATTGGCACTTGAAAGTTCACTTTGAGCAAGACAAGAGATGCCTTTCATGTGTATACAAATGAACTGCACTTTGAGTTCATTTTCTGCTTAAATTGGCATTTCATCTTTCAGCAGATTTAAGTATTCATATGTGGGTGAAAAATTACATGACCAGGTGCACAGTTGATATCATGATTGGCTGTAGAAGAGCTGACACAAATATGTTGCCTCTCTGGCAGTGTCAACCAAAGTATACATTTTTAAGTTTTAGAGAGAGTGTTTTGTGTGTGTGTGTGTGTGTGTGTGTGTGTGTGTGTGTGTGTGTGTGTGTGTGTGTGTGTGTGTGTGTATTTCAAATGTGAGTGAACTGTCAAGCCAGATTTCTGACTAGTTGTAGCAAGCGATGAAATGTGCAGCAGAATCACGAGGAGACAGAATATTGGCGGGGTGCTCATTTCGTGTTAGAAGGTTACTGTTGAAGGTCACACAATTTTGCCTAGGTTCCCTGATGAATAGTAGTGAACCTCTTCTGAGAAGTCGACACGGTAGTGTGGAGGGAGGAGTTAGAAGTTCAAATCATGATATTTTCGGCAAACAAACGGGCAAAGAAGTTACTGACCGCATGGGTTATCTTGTTGATGTAAATCATGAAAAGTAGGGAAGATCAATGATAAATAGACACCGAATTATTTAGCAGAGCATAAAACTACAGCGTTAGACCAGCCGTAGTCCTGAGCCACGGCGACAAACGAAAACTGAAATGCTGTTGACAATGTCTGCTTCCTTACCTGAAGGAGTTGCTGTTTAAGTTTCTGGCTGTCTGAAAAGTGGAGCTCACTCAGGAGGTCGGAAACAAGCCCAGAAGCTGGAGCGCGCAGAAATATGTCACTGTTACGTGGAGTGGCATAACGTTGCGTGACGCCATTAGTTTTGGCGTCGCCCACGTGAGCCGAATTGGGACCGGCGTCCTGGTCGTTTGCCTGAACGTCAGACTCTCCCGTGCGGCCCTCCTCCTGGCTGTCATCCAGATGGTCCAAGTGGAGCTCCAGGTTGCCCAGAGAATCAAAAGGGTTCAGAGTCAAAGCCGAGAGTTCTAGGCGGAGACTGTTTTTCTGCTCCCTCTCCTCCTTCAAGGATTCCAGGACCTCGTCCAACTGATGCTCAGCAATCTCCCGCAGCCTCGCGGCCTCCTCCATCTGGGCCCGCAGCTCCTCTTGCTCTTCGTTCTTTTGGTTCAGCTCAAGCTTTAATGATTCAAACTCCACCTGGAATCCAAATAGTTGGGCTATAATGAACAATTATTTTAATAATCATTGATTATTTTGATAATCAATGAATTGGTTGATTTAAAAAAATAAAGAAAAAAAATATCAACAACACCCTTTCACGCACCCTGTAACCTGATAACATGATACGCAGCCCACTATCGTAACCCCTAATATCAACAACACCCTTTCACGCACCCTGTAACCTAATAACATGATACGCGGCCCACTGTCGTAACCCCATGTGCCTGAAAGGGTTAAATGCCATTCCTTTATTCAAAAACAGGACGTTATCAAACTGGAAGTGCAGAAAATGCAGAAACAAAAGTGACGATGATTCAGCTACCAGTTTGGCACAGGTAACATTTCAGAAAATGGGCGATGATGTTGATCATTCTTTTCCAATGCAAATTTCTCGTTTGATTTAACACAAGGAGAATGAGCCCTTCTTTCATGGATGATTACAGAAATCTGAGAAATTTCAGAGTTGAGAGGCTGAAATTCCAAAAATTTGGATAATTTTAAGTTGAACAATGTCACCAAATGATTGGTTGATTATCACATTAGTTGGAGATTAATTTGATAATTGATTAGGCGTCGATCAGGCGGTTAACTTTCGCATCTTCACCAAACAATATTTTGGCACGCTCAAAGAGTCACGTATTTAGGCCCTAACATAAAGGCACAACATGTCAGATTTTGAAACTGTCAATGGTGCACTTTGAGTAACATTACTATCTTTATTTACTGTTCAACTCATTCAGTTGCTTAAAAGAAGACACACCATCGATGTTGAGCTGCACGAAAAAGAAGAGGAAATTTTATGCCTGAATGGACATTTGAGAATCTTTCATTTGAGGGGGAATTTCAAGTGATTATACATCTCGTTTTAAACGTCGTTAAAGGTGTTCCTGTTCACACAAAAGAACAGCAATTTGTTGTTCTTACATTTTGTTTTGCTTCCAAAAATAAACCAGTGACCTTAAAGGCTAGGTAGGTCATGTCCCAAGCTGTGGTTTTTAACATCGTGTTACACCCTTACCTGTTCAGTTGGGTTTTTTGCGTGTGTCACGTTGGACATAACGATTGCATTGTGGTTGTCATAGTGCCCGTACTGGAGCTAATTACTTTTTTCCGAGCCTGGAAGTAACTCTCAGCCAAAAACTGGTCTGCCCGGTGTCCTTAACACAAGATGAGAACTCAGCTGGTTGTGAGGTTGTGTCAACAAACAATGTGTGGCAGCGATAGCAAAGCAGGGTAAGAGCAAAGCAGTTTTGCTTTATGAGAGGAGTGGAAGAAGAAAGTGGCAACTGAACTCTAATAACTTTAATATCACTCCTTTTTTACAGATAAGGAAGAATATATGCCCCTGTGTATTATATTAGCTGTCTGTCTGTCTGTCATTACTGCATCTTACGTTGTGAATATTTGTTGGGTTTTTTGGGTTTTTTTTTTTTTTTTGTTTTTTGACTGCCAGCATCAGCACTGGCGATGTTTGTTATGTCTAGCACTTAAATATACAACGTGTGCAATTATTTTTGTTGAGCATTTAGTTTTATAGTAAACTTTAACTGGGGTGTCACCAAACACCTTAAATCCCGTTCAGGTAAGGCAGAAAAATATACAGGTACACGTCACACACTGGCTGCAATCAACAGGGGCACTCGAGTTGCTTTCACAATGTAGGAACATCCAAACACACACGACACTGTTGAGTAAATTCATCTTTTGTCTTTGATTACAATATTTTTTATGAACGGGAGAAGTCAAAATCATGACCAAATTTAATCCCCCCTTGCCCCCATCCCGTATATATATGCAGTATAAAATATAAACATAAGTGATCACTGACCTGGTTTTCCTTGAGCACAGACACTTGCTTTTGAAGAGATGTGTTCTCTTCCTCCAGCTCGCCATTGTCCTGCAATTGGCGCAGCTCTCGCACTTTAAATTCCTTCATCTCATCCCTCAGGTGCCCTTTCTCTGCCTCCAAACACACACAGTCCTGTGTAGGACAAGCCACGCTCGAATCATTTCTGAGTATGACAAAGTAGCACAAGGGTCTTACTCTCACTTGTAAACGGTACCTTCTTTAGCTGAGTTGAGACAACCCCAAGCCTTTCAATCTCCGCGTGGGCATTTCCGAGTGCCAGTCGTGCTTGCTTGAGTTCTCCCTGGACTTCTTCCAAACGCGTTGCCATGGCAGCCTCCTTCGATGCCGTCTCCTGCAGCAGACTCTCCTCCCGGCATTCTCCATCCGCGGCTGCGCGCTTCTGGCTACTCACAGAATCTGCAAAGGCCTTTCAACAAACAAAGAGACTTGCAGAGCGAACATTCAACAAGGCAAGTCAAACATATTTCATCGGGCTAGGGTTGAAGGTTCGAAGAAGCCAAATTTAAGACCACATCTATAAAATCCAAGACCTATCGTTCACAGTACATGACAATTCAGAAGCTTACCTTTATATCACAATAGTTATGTGTACCACTACACCATCAGTGACTTTCTCTAATTATTATAATTATTATTATTAAATATTTTTGGTTACAGTAACTGATGGTGTAGTTGTACACTCGCTTGACTTGTGTGCGAGCAGCGCGGGATCGGTTCCCACTCAGTGAGGGCGTGATTGTGGGTGTGAATGGGTGTCGTTCTCTATATCTGCCCTGCGACTGACTGGCGACAAGTTCAATTCAGGGGGTTGTTTGGCTTCCGCCTGAAGTAAGCTGGGATAGGCTCCAGCATCCTCCTGCGACCTTCTTCAGGATAAGCGGTGTTGAAAATGGATAGATGGATGAATGGTTGGATTTTTGGTAGCTGACAAACTTCTGCTCCTCACTTCAACCCAATTGTTGACAATTATTTACAAATGAGCTGTTTTGTCAACCAGAATTATCCAGGATATGAGGCTCAAAATACTTTTTTAGTATGTGCAAACACCCTGAGGACAAAAAAAAAATCCAAAAAAATGATGAGATGCTAGGCGCTTGATCATAATATCAAATACCATATCAATAGCACGAGGGTACTTTACCACACATAGTAAAACATAATACAACACGTATCATTTTCTGAGGCTGAAAGAACATTGGCATCACATTAAACTGTTAAGTGTGCTCAACTGTAAACTGAGAAATGGTTATATAAAGATGTTAATTAGCAACATACGAGCACACACTACTTTATTTAAGCCCTGCTAAAGCCAATACACATTATCAACCCGGGTATCAGGTTTCGACAGATTTTAAAAAATAGATGGAATTCTTTAGCACAGCACATTTCAAAACAAAGAGCTTTGCAGAACATGCTATGTTGGAATGTAAACAGAGTCTTTATTCTTTCATGTTGACTATCCAGAATGATGCTATTTCAATCTTTTACGTTAGGCCAAAAAAAAAAAAAAAA